AGGAAGGCCTGGCGCAATATGGTACATGGGGTCATGAAGAGTCGGACACGACTTAACGACTAAACAACATTTGTATATAAAACATTTTTGAAATGGCTTACAAATAAATAAAACACAAACATAAGCTACCATAATTTGTTTAAATAAAAAGATAAAAGATCGAAATGCTAAAAATCCATGGTAGATAAAATTAAACCAATTTTGAAATAACATAAAACTAAATACAAAGCTTGGCTCCCAGTGACTTCATAAGCATGTCAGTTTAGTTTTCTTGGCAGTAGTACAGAAGTTGTTTACCACTGCCTTCTTCTGTAATATTTTTCCACATCCCAATAGCTTAGAGCTTGGGATTTTCTAATGGTGTCTCATTCAACATTAACCAGGTCTCATGTCACTTAGATTGTTTCAACCTTGCTGAACGTAAGCATGTTTAGTCAGTACTTGGAAGTGAATACAACTGAGAATCCATTTTATATCACCTACTAAAGACCACAAAGAACACTGGCAACACAGAAGTACCACAGCAATTAAATTTAAATATTTAATTCTACCTTCCTGCCCCATCAGTGTCCCCTTCAAACACTATACTATATGTGTCAAAGTGCATCCTTTTCCCCAACTTGAATCTATACTATCAATGTTTCTAACAAATCAAAACAACAAAAAAGCAGGTTATAAAATGAAATTTGGAAGGAAAATCTTAACATTTTCTACTTCTTATTGTTTATTCAGATCAAATGTTAAAGTCAATGTCTGCCTTCATAAAGCAGGTTTAACCAAACCAACAAGAGACTCAACAGATGCATTTTCAGCATATACTAAGTTCAGTAAACTGTACATTTGGTGAGATTTCTATTTGTTCCATTATTTTTGGGATGCCTTATTACGTTATGTGAACCCAGCAATTTGATAAGTCGATGGTTGAATGCATTATTGGGACAAGAAAACAGGTTAATTCAATATCTGAGAAAACATTTAATGAGCACAGCCAATAACTAACATCTAGGGCTAGGTCTACTTCAAAGTTGACTGGAAATGCTATCAGATTTGGTGATGGCGAGCCAAAAACCCCCAAAATACTTAAGATCAAAAACCTCCAATCAAATATAGAAAAAAAAATCCTGAGCAAAGTACAATTCCCAATGCTACAGTTCTGAAGAATTGCGCTCCTTTATTACACCATTGATTTCCTAGTCCCCAAACACCCCGCCCACATTTAGGCCCCTCCCATCTGAGTCAGGTCAGTACCATTCCAAGATTATGTCACGGGGGGGTGAACAATCCATTCTCTAACAACGGGAGCGATATTTAAAGGAAGCTCCTATTAACTTACAGCTTCAGGAATATGAAATATTCTCACCTCTACTGCGCCAAATATTTGTCAAACAGAGAAGCTTACACCAGGGAGAATCACTATTCCCCCCCACCCAAGCTACAGACATAGAATTGCCCATCACAGCCACTGTGAGGTGAGGAAGCGTCGCGACTCAGAAAAGCTCCTTTTAAGCCTCAAAGGCAGCCAAGATGGCGGCGGGCGACTGAGCGCCAAATTCCCTCTCAGCGCCTGCGCAGAGTATCCGCTGGCGCATGGCGCCGCCGCGGTTTTAAAACCCTACCCCCCCCCCCCCCCCCCCC